CACCCCACCATGCACCGCCACCACCAGCACCACCACCGCCCCCAACAGCACCACCACCCCCACCACCACCACCCACCACCACCACCGCCACCACCACCACCCCACCACCACCACCACCACCACCACCACCACCGCCACCACCACAACAACGGCAACAACAACACCAACACCACCAACAACAGCAGCAGAAGCAACAATAGCAACAACAGCAAAACCGCCAGCAGCAGCAGCAACAACAACGACAAAGATATCGATCGACTACGACAGCAACAACGAAAACATCAACAGCTACCACCACCACTACTACTACTACTACTACTACTACTACTACTACTACTGCCAGCACCACCACCACCAGCACCACCACTACTACTGGCACGACCACGACCACGACCACGTCCACCACAAAGACGACTACCATTCCGACTGCTACTACTACTACTACTACTACTATCACTACGACTACTGTTACTACGAGTACTAGTACTAGTCGTACCACGACGACGACTACTGCTACTCTTCCAGCATAATGTGGAGAACAAGCCGAAGTTTTAATTCACAGGTGAGTTGGTGCCAACGCAACTTGGTGCCGCCACAGGTCCATGCTGCTCTAGTATGCTCCTTGGCGCCATTATACAAGCGTCTCATCTACACGGTGCACATGCTTTCGACTATTGGGGTTCTTGTAATTTGACTATGTTCCTCGAAGCGTGAACTTCCATTATCCCCATACACGGGAGGTAAGTTTCCTCATACAAGTTACATAGGGTTACATCGGAGTACATGTTGTCGCATGTACTTGTAGAATTGCATGGGGGCGAGTGATTAACATCAGAGATCATGTTCAACTGATGTGACACGCATACACACCGACGCACTGACATGTTTGCAGATCTGAAGTTGAAGTGCAACATCGTACGCTGTCCAATACGGGACCTGCTACTAGTTCCTAGATCCACATCTACACCCCCCCCCCCCCAATGAACCACACCCAAATAGGACACCTCGATTTTCAGAAACCACTACGTTGCTAGATCAGACTCAGATGTTCATAATGAGTAAGAACCACATAGATCGGCGATGCATTGTCATGCAGCTGAATCTGGAATGGTGTCAGGGTTTAGGGTTGTGATCTGCCTCCAGTTCACCCTGATAGCTGCGACCCTGTCGCAAGAAAGAAACGGATTCCCGGAGTCCCAAAGTTGTAACCCCTGGCCCTGTCAGCATAGAAGCACCTGTTGCTCGATGTTTTCACGTCAGCTCAGAGGAATGCCACGCGACCACCCTCTCACCTGGTCCTGAGCCTTCACCGTCGAATGAACCGCACTTCTCAAGATGAACATGTGCAATACCCGGTCAGGGTTTTCACAAGAGTTTCGGGTTTCAGGAATTTCAAGGTTGATTAGTCCTTCGTTGGTTTGGCGTTTACGCCTGGAGTAGAGCAGGTTTGAAGCAACGCTTGTGATCTACAGCCCAAGTCCCAGAACCTTGCTACCAGTATCAGTTTCTTGAAGAGATAGACAGTGCCATGTCTCTTCCAATGTTGGTACTACCATTACGATTATTATACTTCTTCTTCTCAGTACTATTATTGTTATTGCTGTGGCATTGCTCGTTACTTGCTTTTCTAGGCTGAGTTCGCAAAGTGTCGGAGGGCTGAAACGGGTTCGAGTGTCCTACTGAAAGGCTGACGAGCACCTTCTGGAAGGTTGCTGACGACCATGGCGTGGTGGCTTGGGTAAACTCGAAATTCCTCATTGTTCTATATACTAAGAGTATCCCCTTATGCTCATTGTTCTATATACTAAGAGTATCCCCTTATGGTCCCTGCCATATTACAAACGAGATCTACCCCAAAATCCTATTCAAATTACCATTGTTGCCACTGTATTGTACAGCTCGGGGCTTGGGTTGTTGAAAAAGGGTGCCTCAGCACGGCACTCCACATTCCAAGGACGCACATACGGCACCCACAAACTTTTCATATCCCCTAGCAAACCTATTTGCTGAGAAGCTCCTTCAAACCCCAAAGTGTTAACCAGCCGCTATGCTAAAGCCGATTTTCAATAGGTCCCAGCCTTGAAAACCTAGACTCCTAGACCCTAAACCCCTAACACCTTAAACCCTAAACCCCTAAACCCTAAAACCCCGACTTGAACCCTAAACTAAACCACTCCTAGACCCTAGACCCCTAGCACCTTAAACCCTAAACCCCTAAACCCTAAAACCCGCAATTGAACCCTAAACCCATGAGGCGACATTCGAGAAGTCTGGAGTGTGGGTGAAGCTGCATCTCAGCCGGGACTCTCCGGAAGTGCTGTATGAGCCGCGCAGCGGGAGATTTAGTGTTTAGGGTTTAGGACTTTTAGGTTTAGGTTTCGGGTTTAAGGTTTTGGGTTTAATGTTTAGGGGTTTGGGGTTTAAGGTTTCGGGGTTTAAAGGTATATCTCGGGGACGGCGAGTCTTCTTGAGACCATCTGGCGACGCGATCGTAAGCGTTAAGCGACTCCTGCTTCAAGCGGAATGGCCTACTTGGAGGGCCAGGGGACTTAGTAAGTAGGTTATAAGTAGAGTTATAAGTACCCTAAATGGAGTTACCCCAACCATAACCCTAATTATAACTGACTTACTAAGTCCCCTGGACCTCCAAGCAGAGCTGCCTGAAAAAAATACCAAGACTGTTCCTCAGTGTTCCTTAGTCTGAGTAGTATACTGTACAAGAATGTATACCACCAAGCCCCTCTTCGAATTAGTAAGGACTCCATAAGTATTGCGAAACCACCCCTCCCAGCTGGCGGCCTGTGGTTCGGCACTTTCAGAAGCCTAAGGGTCCATGTACTCATATCGCATATACATGGGCCATAAAGTACCTATATAGGGACTACATTAAGGCCAATGTATATACTATATGAGTACATGGACCCTTAGGGGAAGCTCTGTCCCGGTTCATGGCACCCAGGATATGGAAGCACGGGATCCTACTGGACTCTGGGTCAGGGCTTGTGGATGCAGATACCGTCTACTTGGTGAACGTTGCTGGCACAGCCCATGAAACGCGCCTCTGGCAACGAAATGGCAACACTTCTTTTGGCTGTTGCCATTGTGGTGGTTCTCGTCGGGAATGAGCTATGGGATTCCCGGAATGAACATCCTGGCCAGCAGCACATGGACCCTCGCGCTAATAGTGTTGAGATCTGACGGTGAAGAAAAATCGCCATGATAGTGATGATGATGACGGGAATAATGATGATGACTATGTTTTGAAGCGAGCCACGGTGATGATTGTTATTCTGAAGATGGCAGTACTCAATACAATGATACGCCGCCACCGCAGCACGACGGCGACCTGCAACGATGTCCATCGTCTTCGGATGTTGTCTGTTGGGCATATGGGGGTTTCCGAAAATAGGGGACCCTAATATAGTACCCTAAATAGTAGGACCCTTATTATAAGGACCCCCAATATATGGCACCCCCTATTTTCGGAAACTCCCATATTCAGGCATTTCAGGCATAGCACTGCTTTGAGTGGGCAGGCGGTCTCTTGTCTAGGCAACTCGAACTATGCACTTGCCCAATCGCCTTTCTTTGTAGGTTGAGACCAGCACGCCAGACTCTGTGTGATCTAAGCTGCATGCCACCAAGGGGTGGGTGGGTCCCGGAAGTCCACTATCAGATCTCTGCGACGGCCCAGGGTACACTTAAGGGCAACGAGCTGGTAATTGAATCCATGTACGGCAAGGAGCCGGCTTGGGAAAAGCGCTGCATGAAGCCCTTACTAAACACAGATCCCGGCACCAAGCCCTAAACCCTAAATCCCAAACCCTACTAGTTTGTTGACAGACAGAAGGGAGGGTAGGGTCTAGGGTTGGGGCTTGGGATTTAGGGTTCAAGCCCACCCAACACCAAAAGCCCTAAACTCTAAATCACAATATTAAGCCGGCACTATGAGTGTTCCTGCACTCTCGGCATGGTAATCTTCAGCAAAGCCCCTCTTACCCTTAACTACACCCGTATAAGTTGAGCACCCAGCCCCACAGCCAGCATGAAGTCCATTGGCACATGCTTGACAAAACACCTTTTGCAAGTATCAGGGCACGAGTAGTTGGTTCCTCTGTTGTTCGAGGTTCCTTACCAGAAATCTATCCCAACGCCCTATGCTAACACAAAGGTCACTGTGGGACACAGACAGAACAAGTTGGGACCTGCAACCAAAGTTAGAAGGAAGCATAGAGGTCACACCAATTACTGTAGCAGCAGGATTTCCTTACAGTCTCGTTATACGCAAAGGACAACTACTCGATCCCTCTCTCCACCCCGACCCTTACAAAAAAAAAAAAAAACGTGCCCGCCACCGGCCGGACATCCCCAAGTCTTCTGCGATCCTGTCATGACTGCTGTGAATGGCTATTGCTGCTGTCAGCCTTACTGTCTTAAGCCAACATGTCGATATGACTACTAGTACATCCTCTTATTACGATCGCGAAAGCCCCTACAGCCTTAACGACCTTCAGAATCCCTTCAGAGTAGAAACTCGAAGCTCTTTAGTGGTTCATGCTCGCAGGAGAAACACGAAGAAGATTTCCATACGCCATGGCCCGCGATGCCTGGAACGCCCAGCTTCGAGAGCAAGGTGCTGGGCTTAGGGTTGGGGGGTTTAGGATTTAGGCCTAAACCCTAAACCCCACCCCCGAATTCCTAAACCCAATAACTTCTAAAACCCTAAAACCCTAAATAAACCCTAATCCCGATTCCCTAAACCCTATAAACCCCTAAAGCCGTAAACCCGAATCCCTAACCCCGAATTCCTAAACCCTGTAAACCCCTAAGCCCTAAACCCTCAGGTTCGCACTCGGAATACGTAGCAGTCTGATGCTCGGGAGTTCGTGAGTTTGTCGTCTGCAAGTTTTTCTTTGCCTTCTTGAAACCTCCAAAGACATAAAACTTAGGGTTTAGGGTTTTGGGGCTTAGGGTCTCCAAACACATAAAACTGAGGGGCAACTCGAAGCCTAAACCCTAAACCCTAAACCCCCTAAGCCCCATTGTATGTGCCCAGGCTCCTGTCCCCTGCCTCAACCAGCGTGGTATTCCGGAACCCTTATCAGGCGAAGGAAAAGAGGTGATAAACAAAAAAGCCCTAAACCCCCGAAGCCCTAATAAACTGCTGAGGCACCATGTGTGCCATCTGGCACAGGGCTGCAATCCCAGGGCTTGCAGCAGCCCTTCAGTGCACCTGCCTCCTGAATACGTAGAACTAGACCCGAAACACAGAAAGCGTAACCCTAAACCCTAAACCCTAATCTCACCAGGATTTGCCCCTTTGGATGTTGGGCACTTTTTCCAAGCCTGGAAGCTTCTTGGCAAAGCTTGGGGTCGAGGGGTTAGTGGTGTGGGGTTTGGGGTTTAGGTGTGGCAGACTTTTTCGGTCATGATATTGGGGCTCTTCGGCTGCAGGATCAGAGATTGCTGCTTGTTGGTGTTACCTTCCCGCCCGTGCTATCACAGGAAGCCCGCAATACCAGAACCTACGACCCTACTGGATTCGTGCCCAAGCTCTAAGCCAGGCACCTATTCGCATTTGGTGGCTCAAGCTGGTCATTACCTGTATGGTGCGCCACCTGGCGGCGAGTGGTCCCTAAGACCCCAGCCCATTCACGGCCCCAAACCCCACCACGGCCCCAAACCCCATATGGATGTATATACAGAGGTGTTCAACAAGTTGATACAGGATATGTGAGTTGTGTCTATGCATACACATACACAGGCATGTGTATGTGCGCAAGCATAGGTACATGCATGCAGGCATGCATACATACA